TGAGTGCAACGAGGGAGAAAGCGAGGAACCGACTGGGAAGGACAGCAACGAGAGCGTGTACGAAGCGGAGCGGGTCGAGTTTGGTCGTGCTAGGACTGGTCACAGCGGCATCGGAGCAGCGGCACCGGAGCATGCGGACGGCATCAAACCGTGCTCACGGGCAAACATCTCTTGTGTTGTCAGTTATTTCTCCGTTTTTTTCCTGGATACAGGTGTTGGGTGTGTGTGATGACGTCACTGGTTTTGTAGAGAGACGCGGCAGAGATGGCGCGGATAACCCGGGTGCCTTAATTGTGTACCTGCATCGTGGAAGACCCCTTCAATGTGGAACGATTCTTAGCTATTGTCGATATTTTCACTGCGTGCCTAACNGTTGGGTGTTCTTCTTCATTGTATGTCCACGGACTCATTCTGACAACACTTCACACAGCAGCTGCATGCCCCGAGCTTGTGTACCATGCACCATGGTGTTATTTTTGAACAGACAGCACTTCAGACAGCAGTACGCTGTAGTCGACAAACATTCATTTTGGTTAAATGCGGGACAAGGGGGGTGATGCTGCTGCTGTAGTCGATTTGTAGTGTGTGGGCGTGTAGTTCAGTTGTGAGCATGCAAACGTGCTGCAGGGATTGCAGGTGTACCTCCTCGGGCTTGCGTACCCTTTTCTTGCTAATAGTGTGTGTGTTCTTTAGATCTTCTGATGGCTCTAGCATTTTTGTGACCACGGACCGAGTCTTTGCTAGATTTTGGGATTAGCAACTGACACGAGTTTCATGTGAAGAAAAACAACAAAACAACAAACAGTAATGAGAGTTCTTCCAAGAACAATGCCAGTTGGACTCCTTTCTCTTGACACCTGCGTATTGTCCCCTTTCTTTCTGCGGTCTCTTCTTTTCGCAGATTTTCGAGAGGATGCTGGCGGCAGGGAAGCCTATCGTGGTGGCTGTCAACAAGGTTGGTTGTTTTGTTTGCTTCTTCCTCGTTTGTTTGCTCCCTTTGCTGTTTTTTGGCGGTAGATTCGACACCGAGGTGTTTGTCTCGGTGTTCACTTGTCGCTGCAAATGTTAGGCCTCGTCCTATTTACTACCGGTATTTTTTCCAGCATTAGCCATTCGCTACCTCTCGCGTGACGTCTTGTTTTTGCAATAGTTTTCGCTGGGTTTACCAATGGTTGCGCGATGTACGTGTGTTGATTGGCGTTTTCAGGTTGACCTTCTCCCTTCCGACGGCAAGAGCGGGGACGGCCCCGAGCGCCCGGGGTTGCTGGCCGCAGGCACCCAGAAGGAGGTGGGGTCCCTGACGGACGTGCTGGGCAAGTGGGAGGAGCGCCTGCCGGGGGCGACCGTCCTGCCCATTTCCGCGCTGGAGGGTATCAACACGGTCGATGTGAGTGCCGGCCGGTGTCCGCGACAGATGTATGTAACGTGGGCGATACTGCTGTTGGGGAAGGGTTGGTGTGAGTGCAGGTGTCAAAGCAGATGGTCGGGTGACGGCGATGATGTCGTGGTGGCTCAGAGGGAATCAAGATAGCACGGTCGATGTCCCGGCCGGCGTTAGAAACAGATGCCTGTACCGTGGCGATAATGTGGGGGAGGTATGGTGAGGGAACCAACTATGGAAACACGATCCATTTCAATCCCGGCCGGTGTCAGCAGCAGATGTCTGTACCGTGGCGATGCATGTGTCGTTGCGGACGTTTGAGGCGCAACCCTCTGCGACATCCATTTCTCCAGATATTACATGCGGCTCGCCGATTCTCAGAAAATGTTCACACAAAACACAGGAAGACTTACCCGTTCAACTTAATACCACAGTCGAAGGGGATGTGTTGAAGTTTTTATATTTATAGCGAGTGGAGAAAAACCGGCCGGATACTGGGTGTACTTTGAGTATACATGTGTGCATGCATGTGCACGTTCCATCGACAAGAAACAATCACTCTGCTGTTGTCGGCACTCTTCGGTGCTACCCGGCTGCACTGTCTTTCGCACGGCGTCGTACTTGTGTACGCGCGCACCTCTCTTGAAGTTGCCAACCAACATTATCATTGCTGCCCAATGCAGCTCTCTTGACATGGCCAACAACATGATTCATTTCGTTTTTGCCCGTCGGTGGTGCCGTACCGCCTCTGCCATCAACCCGTTTCGGCTCGCCCGGATTCTCGATCATGCTTCTTCAGCTCGCAGGCGAGCTCAAGAAGCACATCCCGGAAGGACCCCCGCTGTTCGGCACCGACGTCATGTCGGACAAGCCGCAGCGCTTCTTCGCGGCGGAGATAATCAGGGAACAGATCTTCGGGAGCTTCTCGCAAGAGGTGCGTACTGTAGTGGATTGATTGATGAGCGGTTTAGGCGGCGTGGCTGCTGAACTTGCGGCCGCTGTCTCCTGATGCAGGTAGAAACTTTAGCTTGCACGACGCGTCGGGCGGTTGGTTCACAATCGTTGATTCGCCTATCACTAGTTTTCCAATGGTGACATGCATACGATCGGGTTGTTCTGTACACTCTCCTCATCTCTGCTCTCGACCGAGATGAACCTTACCGGACCAAGATCGGCGTTAGCACGGATGTCCCCCCTCGGGCCAAGGTAGGGCTGAAAGATAAGCCTCCCCTCGCCCCCGCTCCGCTGGCAGATGAATCCGATTCACGCCACAGTCTGCGCACGCATCAATACTTCGTGTGTGCTGTGTAACACTGCGAGGGCCCAACAGACACGTCTGCATCTGGGGCCTTATGTTTGCGATCCGCATCCAGTCGTGGAGCTGCTGATGTCTGTTGTGTGCGTGGGCCGTGATGACGGCATGTCCTAAGTGAAGGTGTCCTATTTGCGTCTGGTGCTATCCTCTAGGTCAAATACAAGAGCGTCCGCCGATTTCACGCACTCTGCGCTCGCTGATACACACACCTTCCCAATTGTGTTGAGTCATTGATTTTGTTCAGACACTGAATCGCGAAGTTTTCTCCCTGGGTACTCTCGGCGGGAGAAGGGCCGAGACGGTTGTGGTGGTAAGTGTTAAGCTGTCCCCCGCCCTCCCAACATGGTCACGCCGCCGTCCGGCCGATCAGATCCCGTACTCGTGCGAGGTGCTACTGGGCAAGTTCAAGGAGAGAATGGTGGAGACCGTGATTGACGCGACGATCGTGGTGTCTCAGGAGTCTCAGAAGGGTATGGTGATCGGCAAGAAAGGGGCCAAGATCAAGGAGGTCGGCATCAAGGCCAGAGTGGTGAGTACAAAAACAAATGGGTGATGCGACACCACCACCATTTTTTTTTTTTTTTTCGTCTGCCAGGGTTAAAAAATCCATCATGACGAACAACAGAATAACAGCTGCAGCATCGGCGTCGGCAGCGACACCCACAACAACGAACAGTCACCCTGCCTACCAATCACCCTTGCTGCTGCGGTATTTTTGTTGTGGTTTCACTTGAATAGATTCGATGTCACATGTGCTTGTGGCGGCCCGCCTTTTTTCAGCGCTGCGTCGTACATAGTCTCGTGCTGCATGCATTTGTACGAACGCTGCTGTGTCGCGAAGGTGTCGTCATTTTGGTCCCTTCGTTGTCTCGGCACTGCCTGGCTGCATGATAGTCACACCCGTCGGATCGCCCCTTCCTCGTCTTGACGCCACGCCCTATGTCGCCCAGGCCTTGGAAGAGCACCTGGGCACTAGGGTGAACCTCCGACTGAACGTGAAGGTGGACAAGAACTGGAGGCGAAAAAAGACGTCGCTCAAGGAATACGGGTACATGTCGTGACCTGTGACGGCTTGACCACACACGACCTGCCTGATCCACGAGTCTTAATTCGTGCATGTTTTTTTTTTTTCTCCCATCATTGGACTCTGTCGTCTGCCCCTCTGGCCCCTATCCTCCACCTCTACTCATCTCATTGGATTCTGTCGTCTGCCCTTCTGGCCCCTATCCTCCACTTGTACCAGACCCAACCGGGGTCACACAGGAGGGGGGGTTGGACCCCCTCCTGCGGTTCCTGCCTGAGGTATTTTTATCGCGAGAAGGGTACAGCAATCCCTGCCCTCGCGACTTACGAAGTCGATTATGGTTCACTAACAACGAGCTTTGCAGCGCGTCGCTTTCATCCTAGACCAGGATGTATTAAGTGAGAAAAAAACTCACTCTGCCGGGACTCGAACCCATGACCTGGCCCTTAGCAGGCTGCGAGGTTACCCACTAGACCGCCGGGGCGACCGGTGTCATGTGTCGGTAACTGTATATCTCCCTTGTGGAATTCTAGTGTCCGATTGTGTTGCATGTCGTGGTTTTAGAACGGATTTATGTCACGAACCGATGGCGATGTCGGCTCTCCTCAAGATCCTGTTCTGTGAAATCCGGTATTGCATTCATGTGGTGGACTAATGTAGACTTAACATGTCGTGGTTGCCTGCACAACACAGCGTAGGGCACCCAACGGATAAAAGAGAACAATTTGACAAGAGGCATTGCTGTGTATGGGTGAGGAGAGAAGTACACAGCTTCTTCGCGGTCTTCGCGGGCTTCTTGCTGACCGGTTCCTTGGATTCCGAAGCGTCCTAATTTTGGTTGAATTGCTCGTCTTGGTGCGTGTTCACCCCGTCTACGGTTTGAGTGCATCCACCCGAACGCGTGAACCCACAGCAGTCAACTTGTTTGTTCTCAAGGCGGGGGAGAGGGGGGGGGGGGG